GTTTAATTTTAGACGTGATCCTGCAAAATGTGCAGGTCAGCTATTTGTGCAAGTTGTAACAGACAAGCAGTTCTTTCATGCCACTCCTCATATGCAAGATTTATGCAGCTGTAATGTAACATAAGCTTTAATTAAATTTGAATTTATTAAATATATCATTTATGTTTGTCATCATATTTATATGAATAGGCAATGAAGGTTGAAGAACTATTTAGGTGGCATGGAAAATTAAAATTTTTACTGAATTTATCTTGCTTAATGTTTAAGGAGTAGTTCACCCAAAAATTAAAATAGCTGAAAATCACAGTAATCCACATGACTTCAGTTCATCAATTGAAAAACAAAAACAAATTAAGGCTAAATAGAAATAAAAGTAAATAAATATCTAAAAACATTAAAATGACAAAATATAAAATTACTAAAACTTCCACAAAAATGAAAATAAAATGAAAATAAAAGCTAATTCAAAATATTAAAAAGTTCTTCAGATGAGGCGACTTTTTCACTGAAGAAAGCAGGACAGAGGACTCATATTTTAACATGAATTGATGGACTGGAGTTGTGTGGATTACTTGTGGATTATTGTGATGTTTTTATCAGCTGTTTGGACTCTCATTCTGACGGCACCCATTCACTGAAGAGGATCCACTGGTGAGCAAGTGATGTAATGCTAAATTTCTCCAAATCTGTTCTGTTGGAGAAACAAACTCATCTACATTTTGTATGGCCTGGGAGTGAGTAAATTTTCAGCAAATTTTCATTTTTGGGTGAACTATTCCTTTAATATATAAATACACTATTGTTCATTGCTCATACTAGTTCATAATGCTTTAAATCTTGCAAATATATATCAGTTTTATTATTAAAAAATGTATTTGTATGTATGTGGAAATTAGCATTAAACTAGTTTAATAAATGCTGTAAAATTCTTGTTCATGTTTAGTTCATGTTAAGTATTGTTAGCTAATGTTAATGTATGCTAATATGTTTGAGCCTCCTTCTACATGATGTTGTGTCAGCAGCATTTCACACTAGGATTTTCTACAGCACTGCTTTGTGCATTCTCTGTGTTCACAAAAAACACATTACAGCAGCTCTGAAATTATCTGAACCACAAAGCAGCTTATTCATAGTTGCCAGGAAAATGCAACAATAATGTAAATGTTTCAGTATAGGCTAGAGCTCTACTAAGACAAATGTGTGGCCATTAATAAAACCACTGAACTCATGCAAGTGTTGACATATACAGTATGATTGTAATTGTTTGACAAAGTGTATTAGAAGATACTAAGAGATGCTCACTTAATGACTGATTGTTAGATATTATATTTCATATGAGCAAAACCTACAGTGTCTGGTCAACAAGAAATTGACTGAAGCATCTAAGAACCAGCACTATAATAGTTTATATGGCACAGAGGGATGCTAAAGTTGAGGGATGCTGTTGTTTGCGAAGCATTGTGCATCTACCATTAAAGGGGAAATATATCAAATTCTAATGCACAATTACATTTCATAGTATTATTTAAATGATTACAATTCTAAAATGTAATTTATATTTTAATAATTGCATACACTATATGCACTAGTAACATACACTACCATTCAAAAGTTTGTAGTCAATGAGATTTTTGAAAGAAATTAATACTTTTATTCAGCAAGGAAACATTACATTTATCAAGTGTGACAGTAAAGATATTAATAATGTTCGTAAAGATTTCTATTTCAAATAAATGCTGTTTTTTAAATTCTATTTATCAAATTTTTCAAATCCTGAAAACAAAGTTTCTACAAAAATATTAGGCAGCACAATGTTTTCAGAGTTTCTTGAGCACCAAATCAAAATGATTTTTGAAGGATCATGTGACACTGAAGACTGGAGAAAATTCAACGTTGCCATTACATGAATAAATTACATTGTAAAATATATTAAAATAGAAATCTTTATTTTATTATAATAATAATATTAATGTTATTAATATTCACAATATTACTGTTTTAACTGTATTTATATCAAATAAATGCAGCCTTGGTGAGCATACGAGACTTTTCAAAAATATATTTTTTTAAATCATATTGACCCCAAGCTTTTAAATGGTAGTGTACTGTATATTATTAAAATCTTCTACTCATTAGATTTAAATAACTATTTCTAAATAACTTTTTATTCAAAAAGGACAAAAATAAAGTGACATTGTTTTGCTGTATAATGTTTATAATGTATTGTTTTGCTGTGGGCCTATTTTTAGCTGCACTTAAAACTATATCCTTAATCTGGTTTGAAGATTAAAGCCTTTTAATTTTTCCAGGTCTTTTATAATGCTCGCTTTCTTCCAGCACTCTGTCCAGAGTACTTTGAGTCATTCCATCCCAGCAAGAAAAGAGGAACTTCAGCCATTCTGTCCACACTATTCATCTTCTCCTGCAAATAGGCCCTATTTATCAGTCATTGTGGATATGCCACACCTCCCAAATTACAGCCGTGCACCACAAGCTCCCATGAATGGCGATGATAGCTACCATACTGGATGAAATGTCAAGAAACAAGCCCGTTCAACAACACGTTCCACTGCGATCACCAAAGCACCCACCATTTTTTTCCTGAAGGCAATCGAAAGAGACTGAGTACTTACCATACGGTGGATCCATATGGGTGCTGACCTGAGCGTTCACGTTGACCATGTTGTCTTTTCTGCTCCCCACCACTGTGTTTTACTGATTTTTCTCTATTAAGAGTGAAAGATGATGAAGAATTAACACATATAAGTTTTTGCAGTCCTCTTTGTTTCTGGTGAAGGTGTTGTTGGCGCAAGGTAAGGCCGGTACTCCTGTTATCTTATTGATTTTCCTAATCTGGGCAAATGTGGGTGGAGAGGTTAAACAGTAACCAGGCTTGTATAGAGACCAATCCATATGACCGCTGTAGCTATGGCAACAGGATGATAGAAACTCAAATAGACAGTTCGTTATAATTTTTCTCAGTTTCTCAAAGTCTGCATCTTTTTAAACTCATGCCATATTCAGGAATGAATCATTAGTGTAGGGCGAGTTTTGTTTAGTCAGGCACGAGGAGATGGAAGGGTGTGAGAAAAGACAGGAGTGGAGGGTTTACACAGACTCATTTAGCTATTCTGATTTGTCCGATTCCCATTACTTTGATAAGACATAATCCAAATGTACTGTTTGACAACATGCTTCACATCAGCTTTCATTTCCGCTACTAATTATTTGTCTTTAAACAGACTGAAGGGGGTTAATTGTAATTGTTTCATCTTTACTTTTGTGTTAGAAGCTTCGATTCTTAAACATTAGACCAGTGCCATTCAATTTCAATCTTAAACAGCTTGAGTATAGACATACATATGGGGCCATATGCTGCACTTTTTCTTAACAGATACTATGTTAGTTTCAACAGCTTTTCCCATGAATATAGAGTGATTCCTTCTGACAGAAGTGTAGCATTACACAAGTCTCCTGTTGCTTTCACTTTTAAATAGCTTTGTGGGAAAGTCAGTGTTTTGAAACTTTAGATTTTTCCTATATTTGTCACACTGGTACAGAGATAACTAACCTCTAAGTTCTCCATTACCTATGTGTCCATTTGCCTTATAATATTTATATGCATTACTGTCAGTTAAAAAACAAAACATTACAATTTCAAATAACTGTTCCCTTTTTAATATATTTAAAATGTAATTTGTAATGGCAAAGCTGAATTTTCAGCAGCTATTATTCCAGTCTTCATTGTCACATTATTCTTCATTTGTCCTTCAAATCATTCTAATATGCTGATTTGGTGAAAAAAATTAAGTAAAATAAAAAATATCATCAATGTTGAAAACTGTTTAAACTTTTTTTTTTTTTTGTGGAACCTGTGATTCTCTGATGAATAGAACGTTCAAAAGAACAGCATTTATTGTCAGTTTTGATCAAATTAATAGGTCTTTGATGAAAGTATTTAATTTTAAAAATCTCACTGACCCCAAACTTGAACGTACATATTCAGAAGCCAACACTTTGATTGATGCCCTATTAAAAAATAGAAAAGAAAGAAAAGTTCTATTTTTTTCTTATTCAGATGAATGATTTCAATTACCAGAGTATTCCCTATACATTAGATTGGAGACAGTGGCCCTGTGCTTCGTTTATGGCTTTAAAAGCCTTTTATCTGTGGTTTACAGCAGATCCGTCTCTTTTAGATGGATTGAACACATTAATGAGCTGATAAAAGATGGTTTCATTCTGCTTCTCAATCTGATCCTTGACCAGCTGCTCACAAACACATTTTAAAATGAATTGCCTCTAATATATTTTTGAAATTTATAAATGATTTTTTTTTTTGTTGAGTGTATTTATTTATAACTTTTTTGGCTATGTGCCTGCTGGAAAGGTGTTGGCAACAGTCTGTCTGTGTTATAAGAGAAAATGTAAATAAAAGATCAGTTTTTATGAGGACAAATGTGTTTACACTGCAGTCATGTCTCCTGTGTGACATGAGTTTAATAGACATTTCAAAAAGATAGTAACTTAGAAACCATTGAACATACAACTTTTCCTAATCTAAAGAAAATGTATTACCTGTACAAAAAGAACAAAATAATAATGAAAGAATGAAAGTGCTTTACTCCAAATGTGAATTGTCACTGCGATCCAACTTAGTACAAACAAATTATAAGTAAAACAATGCAAACAGTCCATAGCCTTGAAAAACAACAAATAATAAACATTAAACAGCTTAATAAAGTAATTTTAAAAATACAAAATTTGACACCTATGGGGTGGTAATAAACACAACAACAGCTGATGCAATTTGATATTTACACATTTGATTAATTGGACATTTTAAATGGCGTTCGTTTTTTTAAAATGACCAATGAAAAATCTGCATTCTGAAATGTGTTTTAGTGGTTTCTATTATGTAACATTTATTTATTTATTTTCTTTTTTAGAGATTTTTGTTATTTTTAAGAATTTTCTTTTTCTTTTCTTTTTTTAATCCGTTAGCCTCTGAAACCACTTGCATTTCTTTTGGATTTTGATCTGGAGTCACACTGGTTTTTATTGCATGATCCTCCATAACTTGAGGGACACGCGGAGCATGATTTTCCTGTCTTATATGGAGCCTCTCCAACCCAGTTCCCCCTAACAGAAGAAGAAATATGTACGAGTTTGATTATTTTCCTTTTCTTTAGTTTTTCAAAAATTTGCTTCATAAAAAACAACCATTATTTACTACATTTTTAAGAATAAAATGATTGTATTGATACAGTAAAAAATGATTCTTACTTGATAGAATAGTTGCAAACCAGTAAGGTGGCCTGTTTCCACATACTTCCCAAAACACATGTTTGAACATCTTCTAACAGCACACCCGATCTTATTGCACACACACACACACACACATATATATATATATATATATATATTGGAGACCCACCTGAGTGTAGTGTGTGCAGACAGAGCCACTGCATCTATTGGGGTAGGAGAAATAGTGTCTTTCATCATACCAGGACCTTTCCAGGTCAATGATTGATCTGTATCTGCAAAATGAAAGTAATATTTAGAAAATCATAGTCAGAATATGTAGATAGTGTAGATATGATCCAGAACTGACATGGTTTTCAGATATTAATTCATGCTGATATCATGACTGCTCCCATATATAGTACGTTGTTGTAAGGGTCTGTACCTTCCAGAGATCATGGACAGGTTCTGTCCAATGTGTCGCAAATCATGAGACGGTCCATGATCCCATATGCACTGAGCGGGCCAGGACTCAGCAGATTTAGCCAGTCTCTCATCCTACACCTCACAAAGGAGAGTGAGGATAGGTAAACAAATGCTAAAAAAAAAAATAGTTCACCCAAAAAAGACCCATGCAATGACAATAGGAAATGAAGATGTCAAACAACAAAAAGGAAGAAAAATCATCATAAATTTTGTCCACACGAACTAGATTTTTCTGTAAGACTTGTGGAGCCATACAACATGGGTTTTGTGAGGAACAGAAATTTAACGTGTCAAAGCTTTACTTAAGCCCTTGCGATCTGAATCGTGAGCAACGATTCTTTTGAATCAGATATTTAAACGAAATAGTTGATTCAATTCATAAAACTGATCTGAACGATTCGTTCAAAAATCTGACTCGAGTTCAACTAAAGGATTCGCTTGCCCTTAACAAGTTCACTTGAGGTGAACATTTTTAAATATAGGCCTATAATATAAATTTGATATCACGTAATGTAAGAAGAAGCTTTGGCTTTACTGACTATCCTGACCAAGAGGAACAGTACTTTAACTTAATTAATTTACTTATTCTATTGACCAAATTTCACATTCATAAGTGTAAATTTACCAATAAAAAACCCAATTTTATGGTTTTGTTGACTGAAATATTTATATATATTGACAGTATCAGAGACTCTGTGAATAAGAAAGCTGTAAGAACTTTGAAAGTTTGTGAACTTTACAATATATTTATTTGATTTTATATATACGTACAAGTGTATGTATGTATTTATATCTTGTATCTTTGTTTTGAAGTTTCTTTCCTCCCCCTGGCAACTGTTTTTTGTTTGTTGTAATTTGTCCTTCTATCTTTTTCTTTTCTTATTTTAATGTTGTTTTCTTGATAACATATTGTGTGTTATTGTTCCTTGAAAAAAAAAAAAAAAAACTCTCTGCAACTTGTACGAACCCGGAAGTACGATTCATGAAAAATGGGGGCAAAAACAAAAGTGTTGCGTTTATAATTTTGTTCAGTGTAAGACACTTGTCAAAAACATTTTTAAAAAATGTAATTATTTAAAACCTTTGGCCAATGGTGTATGCATGTTATATATTGTTGTATTTTTGTATTGTGAAGTATTGTAACAATATATTGTGATGTATTGTAACAGTATATTGTCACACCCCTAATTTGTGATACTTCGCCAAAGCTTCTCTATGCGCAAGATCTTCTTTCCTGTATCTGCTCGCAACTGGTCGGTGATGGAGCAGGTGGTGCTGGAGTATGACGGGCAGAGGGCTATCTTTAACGCCAGTGGTGGGATCTACTCTCCTGCAGAGTATTCTTTCCATTGCCAGAGCGTGAGCAGCATTCAGAGCCCCCTGCTGGTGCCTCGCAGTGCTACGGACAACGCTAACCAATGGACGCTGTCCTTCACTGATTTTCAGGTGCTATTACAGTGCGCTGTTTTGAACTGGTAGTGTTAAACGATTCAGCTTCATTTACAAAACCCATATACAGTATACCCCAAAAACTCCACGTACTGCAGCTGATTGATGTACCATGTTTCCCACAGATCCAAGGCTTCAACGTTACTGGTGAAGACTTCTCGTATGCCAGCGATTGTGCTGGATTTTTCACTCCAGGGATTTGGATGGGCCTGCTGACCTCTCTGCTCATGGTGTTCATTCTTACCTACGGCCTGCACATGATCATGCAGGTTCGCACCATGGACCGCTTTGATGATCCAAAAGGCCCAGCGATTTCAGTGCCTCAGAGTGAGTGATCTGAGCCAACAACCAAAAACTGTCGTGTTGTAAAAATATACTTGATTTTGTATGCGTCAAAAATGATGTGGTTGGTAATCAGGAATGTATGGATCTAGCACGAGTATTTGAGGGTTTTTGAGAGTATGTATATTCAAAAGCAAATAATATTTTTCAATTTTTTTTTATTTTGATGTCTTGTAGAAAGTGGTGAAAATATTTTCATCTCTCCCTTATTACATTTTTAATTATTTGATTAACATCGATAAAGCTTTACAATAAGGTTCTATACAAATAAATGCAATAGCTAACATGAAATAACAATGAACAATTCTTTTACAGCATTTTTAATGATTATTGAAGTTGTATAAATGAACATTGTTATATACTGTACATATACATATATATGAAGGAACATGGGTTAACATTGAATATAATACGAATTTTATATTTGTAAATTAACGTTGGTCTAGAGATTAATAAATGCTGCAAAAAAGTTGTTCATTGACATTAGCTTATGATTCCTAATGCATTGAATTGAACCTACACATTTCAGTACACATACAGTGCACATGCATGTTTCTTATGAATGCAGTAACGTTTGACATGTTTTGCATTAGAACATCTTGTGCTGTTATTTTTTGGGCTACTGTTATTTAGCTTGTCATTTAAATCTGGTGGTTTGTTTCTCGTATTGTACTAGATTTGTATATGTTTTTTGTAGATGTACATTAAGAGTTTCCAATATTTAATAATGCCAAATGTACAATTTAAGTGCCTAAGATGGACCAGTCACTGCATGGAAAATGAAAAGTGGTCATTAGGCTGAATTAGGATTTATTGGTTATTAGACTACACTCTAAAAAATGCTGGGTTGTTTCAACCCAACTTTGGGTCAAATATGGACTAACCCAACTTTTGGGTTAAAAATTTCATTTAAAAATGTAACCCAACAGCTGGGTTAGTCCATATTTGACCCAAAGTTGGGTTGAAACAAC